TGCCAATGCATCTTCCGATTCCTCTGGCGAACAATCCGCCTTCTGTTAAAACAATTCCAGATATTTCGGTATTCTCAACATCCTTTCGCAGAATGGCGTATATGTTGCCTCAGGCTTTTTCTTCATCAGTGCAGGGATTTTTCAGTATTCATTGACATATAGGAGGGCTGGTATTGCATAACAATTAAGTACTCTTGTTTTTGTTGTTCCATCCTCTGTTAAAACACTTCCAGATATTTTGGTATTTCCAATTTGTAATTTGCATGTTGGGATATTCCTTTTGATGACAGTAGATAACGATTGACATTGCACTTAAATTTTTGAAGATCAAACTTGGCCGGTAAACATGGAACCGGAAGAGAGTATCACAAGCGATAAGAACAAGAAAAGAAAATGTTAACATAGAAGTAACGGTTACATCTAGGCAATTCAAATCTAAATTGATGAGACCTAGTTGCCAATCAAGTACTGCGCTTAAATTCATAATATTTAGTTAATAGGAGCGCATATGAATAATTACCATGAAATTATTTTTTTAGAAAAGGCACAAGGAAGCAACTTTACGGTAGTGGGAAAGTGACTAAAGCCGAGATGCCAGGTCAGGACCAATAACATTGTTGATTCGTCTTTAGATTCTATCAAGTTTTATGCTGCGAAAATCCGTTTTGAAATCCGTTTCTTCGAATCCTTCGTCGCCAAATGTTGTGACCAAGTAAATGGTTAAGTGCACCAGAAGAGTATTACACGACTTGAATTAGTGTCCCGAAGGAACTAGCGTTCAGTCAGTTCATTGCTCACTGTTCACTGTTCCTCGAACCTTCTCTCCTACTAAACTTATAGTAGGCGGAAGAGTCTAATATAGACTTTTAGAAGGAGAACACCACAACATCAAGAAACCCTAAATAGAAAGCAGGGGCAGCGGACCATATGTGGTAGCAATATTTGAAGTATAGTCGAATGATAAACTTATAGATATGTAAGGTAGATTCTGGAAAGAAAGATTGTCTAGCACAACACAGTGAACCAACTTTCTTGGCAGAATTAGCAATGGATTCAATATACTTTCCTCTTCCTGTCAACTGAGAACGTTAGCCCTAGAAGGCACAATGAGTCACTCTCCTGGAGGTCAGCATTGGCAATGCCGATGGAAAGCAGAAGGAGGAGTCTCTCAGATGGTTTTATTTTGGAGGCCTTAACGCCATCATTTGTCCCAGTTAAGAACAGACTGTAGATCAGTCATGGGCAAACTACGACCAGATTGGCTTTCTGAATGGCATGTCTAATTTCATGATGAAAATAATGTTTATTAAAATGTTCTTTGTTTTCATAAGTTCTCACTTGTTCACTCACATACTCTCATGCATAACCACATGCACAAACAATTGAGTACAATGTTTCTTGAATGTTGTAACTTTTCGTTGAAAGTAAGGTTCTAAGCGTTTTAAACCATTGGCGATTTTCACTAAGAAAGATCATACGTGCAAAAATCTTTTGTTAATTATTTATGTTTCTGTGGCGTCTATCTTTTGTATTTGTTTATAAATAAATAAAACAATATGTTGCACTTTGCAAAAACAAGTTACTTTTTTTAGGAGTTGGGTTGCGTCACTCTTCGGTCAAAGTGCAACTTAGCTGTGTCTTTTTCCGTATCTGGGGAAAAATCCTGAGAGGTGTCTGGTCAGCAGTTGCCCGCCGCTACACCCACCTTATTGCTCTAGAGACGGGTGTTTGTTAGTCTTACCGAAGCCAATGCAACCGACGGTTGCGGTGGCTGGGAGATTTTTGCTCTTGGGACGTGCGTAAGCGCTCGGGTTAACCCCCCGCCATTAAAGTTGACCTTCTGTTACATCTCCTCTGTTGGGAGACCGGGGCAAATAACCAAAATATTTACCTGGGTTAGGGGTAGCATTATAATCTTTTAATTGTGTCTCTGTCTTCGGGCAGAGTGCAACTCAGTTGTGTCTCTGTCCGCGGGTGCTGGGCTATTTTGTCCTTGGCCCGGTGTCCCTTATCACGTCTAAGTGACGAAACTGGATAATACACGAGTTAATCTGCAACACAGCTTAATATTATTATATTATCATATAGTATTAATATATTTTTTTATTTACAGATAGATAATATCCATTAAAATTTTGATGTTATACGTACGTATATATATATATATATATATATATATATATATATATATATATATATATATATATATATATATATATATTAACCCCATAGCTTGGATTGAGGAATCGGAGTTCGAATTCCAGTCGAATCCATTACATTCGCTTAAGTGCTAATAGCCTTGGGAAAAGGTGTGAATCATCTTCTACTCTCTCCAGCTATGGGTAAATAGCAGGGCAGACGGGGGTTCTATAGCCTTGGATGGCAACTGGTCTAGGAGAAGGAAACTTTGAATTCAAAACCTGCGGAGGGTCGTTGGGGACCTTGTGGTACGTAGTGCACCAGGTCTTTGTATTCGGCCCTTCAAAATGTGTGGCTGATCCTACACGAAATCTTCACCACTATAATCAAATCTCATGTGCTGTTGTCGGGTTGTCGGTTTCCTAGGAACTGATCTGCTTGACCCTCGTACGTCGACGGGAGAATCGAGTATATATATTTATATATATATCATGAGAATAGTATAAGCATTTCTTGGTTTATAAGAATTTTCTGAAAATGTAAAATGAAATCATACTAAAATATGACATAATGTGTTATATATAGAAACTGAATAGGTGTGTGTGTGTGTGCGTGTGTGTGTGTGATCGTGTGTGTATGTATATACAGGATGCGATAGTTAAACTGTCGCCATTTTATATTTGTAATTTCGCGCATGCGCGTTGTTTGTTTTTGATTTTATCGACTGGACAGTATAGTAGAGTCAGTTGGTCACTGTCTGTGAGAAAAAGAGCACCGTGACGCAATTCACTCCGACATAAATTTGGAAACGGCTTGCTATACTGCCTGGCATTCGCGCCGGAAGTTCCAATACGAACATTTCAGAGTGTTTGGGTGACAGTGCAGAGGATTTGGAAAGAGCTGGAAGAGTTTAATGGGGATAACGATGGTACGGCAACTCGGAAAAATCAATCTGATCTTTCTGATAAAAAAAGAACACTCGAATTTGTTGGTGTGGGCCTCAGACTCAACACGGAAACCTACTTGCATTAGTTACATTATTCAGACTGTTATCCTCATCTTCATTGCCATATTTTCAACGTTTCCGCCGTTCTAGGCTCCGGCCTTCTTCAGGTGATTGGAATTTCGAACCGAACCCTTTATTTCGTCCACCGGGGTAGATTTTTCTAGTTTCATGTGCCATGCCTCTTCCGGGTGTCTCAGTTATTTTCCTTTAACTCAACGCTCCAAGTTTCTGGCATTGAGCTCACAACTTCTTGGGTCTAGTTGTGTATTCAATACAACGGCCGAAGCCTTGTGAATATGGCTATGAAGATTAGGAAAACAGTCTGACTAATGTAAATAAAGCAAGTAATCATAATACCTCATCTCAGCGATATAGATAGATACAGAGGCACACATTAAATATATGTACTTTTGTTAACCTCATTTTGTAGTACTAGACCTCGACTGTCCCCATTGCTAATGACGTTATATCTTTTAAGCATTTCATCCCAAGCATGGCGGTAAGCCACTAGCACGCAAGGGGTTACAGAGAGTTGAAGCAAGAGCAAATAGGATTGATAGAGGAAAAGATGAAGAGAAGGATAGGGGATAGATCAAGGCATCTGGAGATGTCGATTGACATTACATTTGAATATTTGGAGATTGTAGCTATCGGGGAAACAGGAAAAGGGGGGGCAGTTCTACAGGCGAGAAGTGCGAGATATGTAGCTATTGGAGTAGAAGAGACGCCTACGTTTAACAGTTTCGACAGTGATAGGGTGAGAATGAGTTGCCAGCCTAGTAGAATGCTGAAATTCATGAAGTCTGGGAACCAGCGAAAGCAGCTCCTCGGAGCAGTTACCATGAAAGTATTTGTAAAAAAGACAGAGGGAGGCAACGGCACGTCTGTGACAGAGAGGCTGCAGACGAGATGCCAGGTCAGGGCCAATTACATTGCATATCCGTCCCTGGATCTTATCAATAACCCCGAGACAAACAGAAGAGGCTCCAGACCATATATGGCAGCAATACTCCATGCAAGGGCGAATGGTTGATTTGTAGATTTGAAGGATCGACTCCGGGGAGAAAAATTTCCTGGCGCAGCACAGGGAGCCAACTTTCCTTGCGGTGGACGAAGCTATTGACTCAGTGTATTTGTATATTTCATCTTCGAATTGATGGTTAGTACTTTCTTCTCACTTTCCATTACGACATTGTGCAGAAATATCTGCAATTTTATTTCTGTGCCTGCAATAAATACAGTGTCATTTGCGTATCTTTGATTAAAACTGTGCTCGCCCATAATAAATCCCGACAGAACCTCTAGATTTTTTCGGGTTGAATTTCTGTATAGGTTAAATAATGTCAATAACAAGGAAGTCAGATCGAAACGAACGAAAATGCCTGAATTTTTACTTTATTTTCTTTCTATGGTCATTCACAATTCGTACTCTTCCTATCCAACAGCTGATAGCGATTTTTGCCAAGATATTTTAAAGTTGCTAGGGAACACTTGATGAAGTTCTTCGCTGGGCGAATAAAAAAAAAAAATCAATGAGCACCACCCCGAAGAATGTCTGAATAATACAAGGTATAAAGTCCTTCGGTGCGACTCAATTAAAATTCTCCCAGGTGAGAATCTGACAAGCCACTGTGGTTGTTAACACTGACATTAGAAAAGTACATGTGCAAGTCATTCTGAATAGAAGATAAGACAGTGAGAGATTCAGAGATCGCTCATTGTCACTTGTTAACAACCCGTGTTATATATATATATATATATATATATATATATATATATATATATATATATACATGGTTATTAATTTAAAAGTGTATTTATAAATATGCATTTTATATAGCTGATTGCATATTAGCTTTATACCAGAAACTCGACCTTTCTGCACATGCATCTATCTATCTATCTATCTATCTATCTATCTATCTTAGTCTGTTTCTATATATCTCTATCACAATCTGTTTTCTTTCTTTGATTCTTTCTTTATTTTTGCCTGTCTGTCTCTTTGTATCTATCTATTTATCTATCTATCACAACATGGATATCTATCTCTCTATCTATCACATACTGGATTTCTTTCTATCTATCTATCTATCTATCTATCTATCTATCTATCTACGTCAGTCTGTTCCTATCTTTCTCTCTCAATCTGTTTTTTCATTCTTTATTTAATTCCTTTTAGCCTGTCTGTCTGTCTTGCACTACATAAGAAATCATACTAAAATGTGACATAATTTGTGATATAGAGAAACTGAATAGGTGTGTGTGATCGTGTGTGTATATATATACAGGACGCAACAGGTAAATCGTCACCATTTTATATTTTTATCCTATCTATCTATCTATCTATCTATCTATCTATCTATCTATCTATCTATCTATCTATGTCGGGCGTTGAAAAGAAAAAGCAAAAACGGTAGAATGAAAAGAGATAGTGTGAGTTAAAAAGAAACTGAAGATAGATAGAGAAAGAGAGAGAAATACAGGTAGACAGAAAAATAGAAAAAAGATTGAGCGAGATAGAGATAGAAACAGATGGAAGTAGTGTGTAATGCATAAATATTATACAAAGTTACAAAAATTTACATAATAGTTTTTTTTTTTTTTTAAATAAATATTAAATGGAACAAAGGAAATAAGCTACTGGACAAAAGTTAAGGAACGATGTTAATAATTTCCATAAACTTTTAATTTACATTGTTAAAAAATTCGATGGACCTTTTCAACAATAAATAAAATTTCATTTATCATTAGGACTTTATTTTTAAGCAATATGGCAAATTCTACACGCAAAACGCTCTCTTTTGACGAAAAAAAAAACTCATTATCGCTAACTGTCAAGAAAAAAGTCAATTTCAGAAATTTCTGATATTGTTCATAGATCTAAAAGTATCGTTCATCGTGTAATTAGCAGGTATAAAACCGACAAATTGTTAGATGCAAAACCAAAAACCGGCAGATCTCCAAAAACATCGCAAAGAGAAGATCGAAGAATTGTTAGAATATCTACAAAAAACCGTTTTGAAACTGCTACATCAATTGCCCGTAAATTTAATGAAGAGACAGATAATAAGATCTCAAGGAAAACGGTTGCTTGCAGGTTAAAAAAATGCAGGATTGCATGCCCGTATTCCAGCTTCAAAGCCTCTCATTTCAAAGCGAAACCAAATGGCACGCCTGGAGTATGTGAGAGAACATGTTTTTTGAACTGACGCATAATGGAATACAGTTCATTTCATTGACGACTCCAAGTTTACTATATTTGGTTCTGAGGGAAAAACTTACGTACGCCGTAGAACAGGTGAAAGACTGTCTTCTCAATGTATCACGAAAACCGTTAAGTTTGGTGGCGGCAGTGTGATGGTTGTGGGGAATGATTTCATATGCAGGAGTTGGCCCTATCATCCGCGTACATGGCAATATCAATGCTGAGATTTACAAAAGGCTTCTTCAGCAGCATGTAGTACCAAGATTACACCATAATCTTTATGAATCTCCTATTTTCATGCAGGACAATGCACCTTGCCACAAAGCTCAGAAGGTTATGGCTTTATTTGAAGAAGAAAGAATCGCCCTAATGAAGTGGCCAGCCCAGAGCCCCGACCTGAATCCAATAGAAAATGTTTGGAAGTTAATTGGAGGAAGGACTCAGAAAAGAAACCCGAAAAACCAGGATCACTTATGGGAGTTATTGAAAGACGAAAGGGAGGGAGTTACTGCTGATTTTTTGCAAGAAATTAATTAGATCATGTGGTCGACGATGCATGGAAGTCATTGAAAATAAGGGGATGTTTACGAAATATTAAATTTTGTTGATATTTTGTTCACAATCAAGTATTAACAAGATCTTTCCTTAACTTTTGTCTAGTAGCTTATTTCATTTGTTCCATTTAATCTTTATTTAAAAAAAAAAACAAACCATTATGCAAATTTTTGTAACTTTGTATAATATTTATACATTACACCCTAATCTTTATTCGGTAAAAATTTAATTGCTAATCATGCATTACTTTTAAGTAATACACATATTTATGTCTTTTTGTTGTTTCCGTTCCTTATATTATGGCCGCTATTGTATATATATATATATATATATATATATATATATATATATATATATATATATATATACATATATATATATATATCAGATATATATATATATATATATATATATATATATATATATATATATATATATATATATATATATATATATATCATATATATATATATATCATATATATCATATATATATATATATCAGATATATATCATATATATATCAGATATATATATATATATATATATATATATATATATATATATATATACATCAGATATATATATATATATCATATATATATATATCAAATATATATATATATATATCAGATATATATATATCATATATATATATCATATATATATATCACATATATATATGTATATCAATATATATATATCATATATATATATCACATATATATATATATATCAGATATATATATATATATATATATATATATATATATCAGCCTTTCTTATCTATCTATCTATCTATCTATCTATCTGTTTCTATCTCTATCTAGCTCAATCTTTTTTTCTATCTGTCTGCCTGTATTTCTCTCTCTTTATCTATCTATCTATCTATCTTCCGTTTCTTTTTAA